GGGCATGGGGTTGTTCTGTGCACTCAGCAGACCACAAAGCTGAGGAGAAATGCCAGCAGCTTGTTAACCCTCATATCCTCTTCCTTTGACCATGGTCCTTATATCATTTACCAGTCCTCAGAGGTACAACAGCCACAGTCAGGAAAGACTTGAGGGTCAAATGGAGCACCTGAGCATCCAGCCCTGGAGTTGCTGGAGTGAATAATAACAGGAAAATTCATCCTGTGGGATGAAGTTCCTGCACCACACCAACCCAAAATGCATTTTGGTTGAACAGCAGCCTTCAATTTTTATATTTTTATTCTTAAATTCATCCATAAATCTGGATGCCATAATCAGTAAATTACCCAGGCACCACATTTCCATGGCAAAATCCCAACTATGAACTAGAGTAAAGTTGTGGGTGAGAAACTGGTGGTGATTTCTGGTCCTGTGGGGTGAGGGAGATGCACAGGTGATGCTCAGCCCCTGTCACCAGCAGCAGTGTCTTCAGAAATATTGCAGGCTGCTCCAGGGGTGGAAGGGCTATGAATAGGACTGGTATGGCACAATTCAGTTCTGGCCGTGCCCATGAATCAGCAGAATTTGGAGAGCTATAAATCCTGGTGGTTCTTGCTCCCTGCCTGCTGACAGTGCAGAATGGTGCTGGAGACACTGTTGAGCCAGGGCTTTGCTGGGAGTGTTCTAGATCAGAGCCATGGGAGCCAGGGTCAGGCAGGGCTCCTCGGAGAGGTCAGATCTGATGTAATGGTGTGTGGGATGGGTGGCACTGGCCAACAGCACAACAGCACAGGTGCCTGGTTCCCCTGAAGGTGCAACAAGGCACCCACATCTTGTTTTTGTTCTGTTTGCATTTGTGTCTCAGCCAGAAGTACAGGTTTTTCAGTCGATTTTGACTGAATGTGAAAGTTTCTTTGTTTCCTTTCGGAATGCAGGGATGGAGACTAAAAGCAGGGTTAAGTGAGTCCTGGTTGTCTGCAGGTAGGTAGGGCAAAAAACCACAAAGGAAATCTGTGTGTTAATAGCCAGCTTGGTTAATAAAAACTTCATATATTTGACTCATTTAACAGTTCAAATATCTCTTAAAACATTTTACTGTTGAGATCTGAATGCCATAGGTATTTCTGCACTGAGCTGTGGAGCTGGGAAGGAGCTGTCTTGTGATGTTTTGTGTGTAGAAGATGTCAAGAAAGGCAAGAAGGTGTGGGAAACAATGGGGAGAAAAGCCCTGGATATGCATATAATTCATTGTAAAAGCATGTACATTTGTAAACACAGACATGCACTCTTCGTGCAAGAGCAGTACACCAGGATGGAACTGGGAGAGGACCAGACTTGGAATGCAGCAGCTGTGAGAGGACAGTAAGAGAACACAAACTGCCAGGTGTGAATGTGAGAAGGCGATGCTACAGTAAACACATGGAAGTGGAAGAAGGATGGTCTTATGCTTGGATGGAGGAGTTCCCTCAAAGGCACATGTCCAACTTCTCCCCAAGGCAGTTCTCAAAGGTGACATCAGCGCATGGTGGGGGGAAGAAGGATCTGTTCTCTTCCCATAACTGTCAGTGTGCAGGCAAATAATTCCTGATGGGTCAGGATTAGCGTGTAGGACTGAAGACTAAACTAAGTGTTTACCGTCATCAAGTGGAAGCTTTAATGAAACCAGGCTTCCCTGCACTTCCTCACCAGCAAGGGGTTGGAGAACAGCTGGAGATTCACTGATAAATTATGGCCTGTCTCCTGCTACAGACACTGCCGTAGCATCTGAAATGCATGATAGAAATCTGTCCTAAATGATCACTGACCTTCAAACAGGAGGGGAAGAAAGCCAGACCCAACTTGACAATATCTTCTCTGAAGCAAAAAAAGCATAACCCCCCCTATATTTAACTGGATTCTCATGAAAGATCATGTGTGCCACAAGAGGATAAATTTGGAGCATTCTCGGTTTCAGAGTGAATATTTTATATAAACAGAACTAAACAGTATAGGAAAAATACAGTGCTCTGCACAGCAGCAATGCTCAGTGAGCTAAAAAGCCAGACTGGGCCAGATCTTAGTGATAATTCCCAGTGCAACCTATTCTTGAGTCTGAAGTCTCCTGAGAGATACCTTACATAACAGGAAATTGTGGATAATCACAGAAAAAACATCAAAGCCATTTCAGATATTTCTAACACAACACTTACTAAATGTTGGGGGGGACAGTAAATGTGCAGATGAGCATTTAGGGTTGGGGTTCTGTGTTGGTGGTTTGTTTTGTTTTGTTTTGTTTTATTTTTTAATTATTATTTTGCATTGGTTGAAATATTTCCTCCAGGAGCAGGGCTTAGAGATTTTCCAGGGTGTGGAGTTGTGACCAGTCTGTGTGTTCCATCCTGCCTGTATGATCTCCACAGGAGAGCACAGAAAGGGACAGACACAGAGGATCAGAAGCAGTCAGGGAACATTAACTGCATACATGCATAATTATTACTACAGTGACCTGATGGAAATTTTGCAAGGATTTCAAAATGTGTGCGAGGAATGCAAAAGGTGAAACCTTCCTTGAGCCCCCTTTGTGTTTCTGTGCACACACTGGCAAGTGGAAATGGCAAATAATGTTATAAATAGGTGTTAGTTCATTACAGCCTCTTGAATTGCAGTAGGGATTTTTTCAAGACAGACTGAGTGCTTTGAAAATGGTAGAAGACTGCATCAAACTGGGTGTTAAATCCACCTATTCCATACAGGAATAACTATACAAAGAAGAAAATACCAGAGTAAGGGACTCCAGATCCATACAGACTTCACAGTCTGTATTGTGGATCCACCTATCCATCTCTCTTTGTGTGTTGATTTTCTGTTATGGAAGTATTATGACAACTTAAAGGTGGAAAAAATTTCAAATTTATCATGCCTTTTTTTTTTTTTTTTTTTTTTTTTCTGCCAGGGAACAGTGACGTCTAACACTGTATGCTAACTCAGTCAGAGTTGGGGACTGAGGGTTGCGGAGTTCTAAAATATGCTGGAATTAATGGAACAGAATCCACCGATCCATAGTTTTATACCAGCCTGTCTCAGTCTAAGGTCAAACTGGAAAAGTTTCCTGACAAGAGCTATAGGTCTGACTCTCTGCTTCACTGCTGACTGAGCTAGTTAGCTAAATAAGTATAATATAATATAAATAATAAGAAAAATCCTGTAATGGGGGGGGGGGGATGACACTACAAATTTAGGTTAAAAACAAAAGTTATGGCAAACACAAGTGCCTCCAAGTTTTGCAATAATCCTCCAGTACTTTTTGCATCCCAAAAGGCTCCAGATGTGACCAGCCACTGCGAAGTGGTGAGTTGTTTATCAGCATCCTGCACCGCAGACGGGCACCTGTAATTTCACTTGCGCTTTGCATCAGCAGAATTAAGATATCCAGGGGAAAAAAAAAGAAAAAAGCCCCAAAACCCAAGCCTACTAAAGCAGGTTTCTGCGTATTAATGCATAAACATGGGTATTGCACAGCCCTGCCTGTCACCTTCAAGGTGAGGTGTAACAGCACCCTATTCCTCCAGCTCCCGTGTGAGCTGAGGGTTTCTCTGTGTTGGTATTAAGCCTGCACCCAGCAATAGAGTGAAAATTAATAACACCCAGCGACTCACAGCACTATTATTAAACACTTGGATTTTTTCCACCTCTTTCCACAGCCTTTTCCAGCTGTGACATCTGCAGGCAGGTGAGTGATGGGGCTGCCCACCACCTACGGGCTTGCTGTATTCCTGTGCACTGTATATTTATAAACTGCCTAATTTTGATCATGTTCCCTTCTTGATTTGGTCTATTCACAGCTTCATTTTGTTTTGGGGAGAAAAGCTTCCATCTGATTACTTCTTTCTAAAATCTAGTGCCACCTTCTTCGATTTTACAGGTGATGAATTTGGTTGTTTATAGAAGCCACGAAATAAAATTGCTGCACTCAAGGGGCAGGTTTGTATTTTCAGAAAGTCACCTCCATGTTTGTGTGAAGCACCTGCCAATTAATATGCTTAAAAATATCACTGAAGTTATGTAAGATCTTTAAAAATCCTTCTGCTTCTTGACTTCACAGCACTTCACCTGTGACTAAAAGTCATCAAGCTCCAATGTGCTTTAAAATAAACTCAAAACCCAAACAGCCCTAATTTGATAGAAGGAAGAAATTATTAACTCCTTTCTCTTGGGCAGAATTATTTGGATCTGTCCATGTGATGCACAGCCTGATCTTGCACTAATAATCTTGTAAGTTTGTGTCCCTGGTCAGGCACCCCCCCAGTCATAGAGGGGGCATTACTGTATATCGTTCTTTTATGCATATAAAACTGTATATCATTCTCCATTAATGATATATAACATATGTGACAGTGTTTACAATTTATTGGCATTGGAAGGGCAATGGCTGAGTAAACTCCAGGCTCAACATATCAAACCAAGGGCCCAGGGTCGTTCTGATCTCCCATCATTCTGCTTTCCTAGTTTTTTATTTCAGAGAAGGATATATGGAAATGAGCCTTCTGGAGCAAGTTCTGGCAAATGTTTTTTTCTGGTGCAGTTTTGAGGGTGGGAGGAGAATGATTTTGGGTAACATGAGTCTCTATGAGGAATTACACATCCGAGCTACAGCGAGCATTGGGTCAGAATAAACGTGCCGGTTATGGCACCTTTAAACAATTTAAACACAGGGGGATTTGTGTAATATAAATATTAAATCTTTCAGAGCACTGTTTAATATACAGGGTGTTAGGAGTCACAAAGGTTCTCTGGCTTAAATTTATAGAAGATACTGAAAGTGATACACTATGTTTTCTTTTTCAGGAACTGATTCAGGCCACTGATGTTAATGAGAATTCTGCTTTTCTGAGCTCTGGAACAAGCTGTAAGGCAAGACGTATGGATAGATAGATAGACAGACAGACAATAGATAGATAGATAGATAGATAGATAGATAGATAGATAGATAGATAGATAGATAGATAGATAGATAGATAGATAGATAGATGATAGATAGATAGATAAAGCCCCTCTGTCCTTTCTTATTTGTCACCCATTTAGATATTTTATGCCTGAACCTGTTTTTGTTCCACAGGTACCAGGAGCTGGGAAGTGCCTGTTCTTCCTGCAGTCTTGCAGCTTCAGTAACCCCAAATATATTTAGACTGATGACTCGATTCCCTCATCACAAAGATATGTGAGAAGGAATTGTAGTCTATCTTGTAAAAACAGTGCTACACTTGTACATGCATGTGTAGGACTGTTAAAGATTTTACAAGATACACGGGAATGTGCGGCTGCTTATCTTGGGAAAGGTGGGAGCTCAGCTTTAAAAAAGAAATCCACCCTCTACCCCTGGCCTGGACTGCCAAGTTTTAGCTGCGCATTCCCTGTTTGAGGCACATCCTGCACACAGAGGTGAATACGCTCTCCAATTTAGAGGGAAGATTTAGGAGCAAACTCTACTTCATTTACATCATTAAAATCCTAATGAGGCTGTAAATCAGGGTAAGAGTATGGTTGAGGTCGATAGGGTTGGGTGGATTTAAATGGCTGCAGAATTTGTCCTGTTTAGGTGGAAATATAGACCAGATGAGCATAGGAGAGCTGAAAGAAAAAAAATTTCACATTCTTGTTCAGATCCAAACAGAGTAACGGCACCTATCAATTTTGGGCCAGAATGTTTTGCTTCTTTCTGAAAAGAGATAACAGTGAAAATGTTCACTGTCCTAAATCACAGTGGCCAATGATAAACACATTAAAATGGGCCAAAAATAATTTATAAAAGCTTGAAATAATTTCTTTTCCCTGACATATCTTTGATAGGGTAGTAATTAGAACTAGAGTTGTATTCCTCAGTTTAAAATTTTCTTCAAACTATTAACAAAATTTGATGTATTTCCCAAAATACACCAACATGATTACATTTTCCGTTACTTCCCTTTTGTAAGCAAGCTTCAATATTTCTAGTATTACATAGCATGGAATGATCTGGAAATACATATGTTCACTGAGAGCTCTGGTTTGAATCTGAAGTCTTAATTAATGTTGTTTTACAGTGTTTCAGTACAAGAGGGCATAGTTTAGAAGCTGAAAAAGGCAGCCCATCTTGTATGCCCAGTCCAGACCACTGGTTTAAATGGAATTCTCCACCTAGCACAGCCCATGGAATCAGCCTCTCTGCTGAGCTGCAGCCAGCTTGTTTTTCTATTCCTTAAACAGTCCTGCAGCACTTGCCAGGAAATGCAAGAAAATAAAATGACTCACTGAAATAGTAGTTGTTTCCATTGGAAAAATTATTAAAAACAAACAGTAATGTTATCATATATAAACTTTCATATTAACATTCCACAGCACAATTGTTTCTGTTGTTGTGTGGCAGTGTCATATCAAGGACCATTTTGTCTTAAAAATAATATTAATGTGAGCTGATGCAAGTGGTGATATTCCTAATGCAGTTGTGCTGACACAAGGCATGGAATGACAATCTATGGACCGTGGAAAAAACCCACTGTCTGCTGAGCCAAGCTCATGTCTTCAACCTGCATAGCAGCAAATCTCTGATTTAATTGTGAAGCTCTTTGCTTACAGGCAGCATTAATTCCATATACCACCTATGTTAATTATGTTTATATTACAGACACACAAACAGGGTTGTTTTTTTTTTTTCCAAAATGTGAAGGGAGTGGTTTTAAAAGACAAGATGCCAGATAAGATTTCAAAGCTGCCAGAGAACTTGCAGATGAAGAACTGCATTAAGCAGACTAACAATGAATTTATTGTGAGTTTTTACTCTGTCATGGTCCCAGTTCAAAACTCTCTGTTTTGTCTGGAAACTGTGCAATTTCTATTTTCTTGCATTGTTTGATCTACCCAATGATACCACAACACATCCCAGCACTTGGAACACAGACTTTAAGAGTGGCTTATGCAAAAGGAAGAGTTAGAGGGAATGGAAAGGTCTGGGGATTTATACATTTATAAATTTATAAATAAATGGAAGTGCTTAATATCTGGAATTTTTGGGAGTCATTGGTGATTTGTGATGTTTTTTGTGTAGCTGCTGTTTAACCCAAGGGTTTGTAGTTCCTGACTAAACATAAACCCACGTGTCCATGGACATACTTTTTGATTTAATGCCTGTGTAATAAAGCATACATTGGAAACAATAAAGCTTACTATTAGATTTCTAGTGAAAGCATTTGACTTTGTCAGTCTAAAATATACATGAATTTTTTTGAAATATTTGCTTAAAATGTGCTGTTCCCATAAACAATCTTAATAGTAAACCTATTGGCTAAAATATTCACATAAAGTAAACAAAAGGAGCACAAACACAGCCAAGTCAAATTCAACTTTCTGTCTTAGTAAACATTTGTGGGAGCATTTTTAAAATCATGTTTTCAGCTCTGTCTTGGTACTTTCAGAACTTCCAAATACTTTACAGAATTAATAAAAGTATATAAATACACATTTGCTCCCAAACAACAACAAAAGAACTTCTGTCAAAATAAGATGATGTAAGACAGCAAAGTCAAGCAGTCAACATCCAGGAAGAGCTGACATGGCTCTTGCCTTTGTACCTGAATTCAAACTATCAGTTTTCAACCCCAGCCCCTTTTTGGCTGCTTTCTGCCCTAGAGATGTCCACAGCAGAGAGAGGTGTATAAATATTCCTTGTATGGGTTTTCTGAGATGGTTTGCATATGGCTGTACCTGGGAACACCTGTGTCTTGTCAACTCAGGCAGCTTGGCTGTGACAGCCCTGTCACCACCTGAGTCTAAATATCACCTCACTTAACCTCACTTAACCACCCAATCCTTTATTTGGGATATTAGAAAATGGAATTATTGGCCAAAAGTGTGACAAGAGTCTCAGGAAGGTATTTTTAATCTCCAGTCTGCCATTCAACTGGTCCTGAACAGTATCATTTGGTGCTGAAATATCTTGATACTCCCAGACTTTGATGTCTGAGAGGTGACACCTCTAATAGCAGATTGCCTCCTAGTGCCACGCTCAGGTAATGACTGAGAGGCAAAAAATCACCAACACCAGTGGGTGTTTTATTGCGAATCCTAGCTTTCATTCATGACTAAATTTCTCATTATGAATGCCTGCTTTTATGAGTGGATCATAATTTTCAAGTGGAGAGTAAAATTATCTTAAAACCATTTTGAAAAAATGAAAAAGACCATCCATCCACCACAAAAAATGTTATTTCTGGTTTGCTTCATGAGTTAGAGAAACACCTTGTTTTAAGAAGTTTGTACTGTGGACATTCTGCATATTTTTTCTACTTTGAACTTCAATTTAGCTGAATCAACCATTTATTTTCCCTTTTGGTGCAATAAACCGTTACTGTCTCTTTGCACGTACCATATATATTTGTCCTAGTTCCTTTCCTTTTTCTTCTGAGAATGTCTCTTGGAACCACAACTCCTCCTTCTTCATTCCAGAGAAATAAGATATACATAATCTATATTTGTCCTTGCCCACTTGGCAGAGATTAAACAATTTTTTTATCTCCCACCCTTCAGATCTTCCAGTGAGAACAGTCGAACAAATTTCACACCTCACACAATTGCAAAGGGATTATGGGCACATTGACAACACTTGACTCAGTTTGCTTCCAGGACGGTGTATTTTTGGTAAGGTGTAAAATTTGCAATATATAAAATACATTGTTGGGAGTGGAATAGAGGAGCATAAGGGAACATTACATATATATGTTCCACTTTAAACACACACTGGAGGAAAGAGCAGAGGATGCCCAGTGTCTCCAGCAGCCTTGGACAAAGGGCTGATCTGCACAGGGGTCAGATATGAGCACAGATCAAAGGGGGCACAACCAACTCATCATCCACCCGACACTCAACCTCAGTTTACACAGCGACCCCCGTGATGTGCTGCAGCTTCTCTGCTCCTCTCCTCTTCCCAGCTGCAAAAAGAGGAACACCATCAGTTACAAACATCAAAGTATGTGCGGAGACAGCACAAGCCTCCTCCAAGAGCCTTTTCTTGAGAAGCAAGAGCAGTGTGGGTCTCCAGTGAGGGGGTGGAGGAGGGAAACCTGAGGGGGAAAAAAAAAGGCAAGAATGTTAGATATTAAAACCCTAACTGAGCTTCTAACTTGCAGGAATTGCTCAGACACCTTCCTGCATTCTGACCTCTCTGTGCCTCCAAATTCCTTTAAGGTCTCCCAGAATTGCAGTGATGCCACTTCCTCCAGAGTCTCAGGACGGATGGCACAGATAAAGACCATTTTTACCAGTAGTGCAATTTCACCCCCAATAGATCAAACCCCTCTGTCCTCAAAGTCTGGCACAACACAAGAAACAATAGGAACCCTGACTACCCATAGGAATTCATGTTTATCTCTGGAAGGTCAAAACCTATCCCAGGTTCAGTTTTCAGCTCAACATGGGGAAGGTGCTGCTAAGGTTCAGCTCTTTAAAAAAAAACTGTGGTAAAACTGTCTAGAAGAAGAAGTTTGATGCACTCCTGCAGGATTCATTACTTCCCCAATAAATTCAACATGGCATTTCAACATGTTTGTATTGTGACTTCACTAGTTTTTGTTATGTATTTGAAATATAATGATATTTGATAATAGTTCATGGCAGAGTTATTTTTAAAATGTATAATAGTGACAGCATTCAGACATATTACACACTCCATTTGAATGAGAAAAAGTTTGTGATTCACTTGCCTTACAGAAATTGTATTTCACTGTCATTATCAAAATTACATTATTTAAGTACTGCACGATTTTCATACCAAATTATCTTTTCACAGAAAAAAAAAAAATCAGTGCGGTCAATTACAGTGTATTAAAATCCTGAACACCATTTTCATATTACATTACAAACATTCTTTGTGCATTGTTTCTTTGCTGTAGCTCTGCTGTTTCATCAGATATAATCACCACTGTCGAGATGTACAGAACTGGTCTGAATTGGGAAGAATGTACAGAAGATGTTGATGCTGGGATCCATTATGCTAAATGTACATGTTAATCACCAATGTCCTATTATGCTTATCTTTCTGTGGGTTTTTGGCTAATTTTCCAGGTCCAGGATATTAACAGCGCCTTTGGTATGCATGGATTAGGTTATTCTATTAGGGATGAAATGGCTAAATGGGTGAAACCAAAGAAATGCAGTAAAAAGCTGTTGCCTGTGGATTGTAAATAGTTTGCAGCAGACATATCTCTGCTTACTCTGCTCAGCCTCAAAGCCTAGGGAAGGGGATTGGTTGGTTTGCTTGAACACATGGATGGCTCTTACAGCTTCAGATTGGTTACTAATGAGGAAAAGAAGCTTAACGGCAATAGGAGATTCTGGCAGCCCAATATTTGTTCTGTGAAATCCATGTAATATCAGATAAAAATGGTGTTCATGTCACACTGGCTTCAAAACCAGTCACTTTTCAAATATGTCTAAATTTAACTGGACAGTTTTTAGTATATGTCACAAAAGACTGTGTTAAAAATAACAAGTAGATTTTCACACAGTGGTTAATGTGACTGTCTAATTTCACTTAAAAACTAACCCAACTCTGCTCCCATGGACAGAATGCTGTATTGAAAGCAGGCTGGATGGGCTCATAGGCTCTGGAATACACTGAATTTCAGTGAGAACAGTTCCATAGCTGCACAAACATGAGGGTGTTTTTGTTTATCTCATTAACCCTGAATGGATCAGGGAGTTTCATTTGCCATAATCCAGGGTAACATTAGGGTGGGCAGAGCAAGTCAGGGCCACAATGATGGACACGGAGCAGAAATAATACCTTACATTTTTAATTCTTAATGTATGTGATGTCTGGGCAGTTACTAAAAAGTGACTATAACTGATAGCAAAGGGAATGCACGTATACATCTACAATGACTAATCACTGAGATATGAAAGAAAAAAGATGAAATTAAGCACGTAGAGAAAAAAAAGTGTTTTGCCATCAATGACATCCCTAACTGGAAAAATCACTAGGAAGTCCCAAGTATCCATGCTGGAGGAATTCATGCCATTTCTTCAGAATGGAGTAGGGAAGCCCATGGTGTCAGGGATGGTAACGTGTTTCACAGTATTTAATATATACTGTGTAATGTCCATACACACTTCCTTTTACCTGGTATTATTATTTTATCTACAATAAATATGATCCTTAGTGTTATTGTACTGCTGCAAAATCCCTGTCATTGCATGCCCATTGCTGCAAAATCATGCACAAAGAGAAGACTCTTGTCCCCACACCACAGGAGATATGTAATGTTTCAATTCTAAATAAAATCCAAGATTTGAATACAATTCTACAGGAAATTACCATTTTAAGTACGTATCAGAAGTATTTAACTATTGGTAATTTACGATGCGTTCCAATCCAACTATCCAGAAAGGCTAAATTATATATAATAAATGATTGTTGAGGAGAAATATCCTGTTATCTGTGTTGTCCACAGCAAATTGTAAAGCTATTCTAAATCACAAATGTTGAGTTCTTAACTAAACAAAACTATCCCTGATAATTTTGCTATGGATTTTTACATAGCTATGAGGATGTATACCTGATAGAAAGATGTAAATATTTTTATAATATCAAATGTTATTTAAAAATTCATATTGCTTTATGTCTTGAAATTGTACTGGCAAGTTGTTTCATTTTTCTTCAGTATGGCCACAGGCTCAGCTCCGTGGTCTCTGCAGCCAAAAATACCATGTGTTTTTTGCCTGTGTGATGACATCACAGGAGGGCATTGCAGCAGCCTCTGAACATTAAGGTGTCAGTGAAATCCTGCGTCCTTCATCGGAACTGGCACTAGTTGTGCCTGAGTAAGGAGGTTAGTATTGGGTCCCTGGAAAAGGAAGATAATGAGCCATAACTAGGAATAATGGGGTGATCAGAAGGCATGGAAGATGCAGGTTGAATATCATTAAAATCTTCCTGGCGGTGAGGTCTATTATGCCAGGAAATAATCTCGACTTCAATGGGAGCACTGCCAGAGGAAGGTCTCTGGAGCAGCCTTGGTCCCCATCCAAAGCCCACTGACATCAGTGGGGATATTTCTATAGACTTCAGAGAGGTTTGGATCAGGCCCAGGGCAAACAGTGCAGGTGTATTTGCCTGAGCCCCCAAAATTCCCAATGTTTTTCCCATCATTGTTGTGAATACTTTTGAGATGCATCTCAGTGCAGGCAACCCATGGTGCTACTGGTTTGTTTCAGCACAGCTGAACCCCATCAGTCCAGGAGGCATCTTCCATGTGGTCCAAATGTAAAAAAGCTGTTAAAATCACCAATTCTGGCTGTGCAGGTAATTTAAACAATAGAGGCGACTGTGAGGAACAAGGATCTGTGATAAGGCCACACTGGAGCTGATGTAATGCAGGGAATGATGGAGGTTGGGCATTAGAAATCCCTTGGGTTTTGTTTTCTTGCCTAGGAATGCAACAAACAAAAAGGCAGGGAAGGTGGGTGCAAGAAAACACCAGGCACAGCATCACATATTTGGGAGGGGAGGGGGACAAAGAAACAATTTTTTTTTTTTTTTTTTAATTCATCTTGTGTACACTCTTGGTAAATAAACTGGATCCTGTCAGAGCTGACAGCTCCTGCATCTGTTTCTTTCCTTGAAGACAAAACTTGCAGGATTACAAACTTCAGCCACTACCTGACTCAAGAAAGGCAACAGACTAAATATTTGTGTGAAATGCCTTTGCTCAAATAATTTAAGTCATATGTTGTTTTGTGGATGCCAGTGATTAAATGTGTTTTAATGCTAGACTCGGTAAAGTATCACAAATACCAAATACTAAAATCAGATTTCTTAACAGCAAACATGGTTTTGTCCTTTCATGCATTCCCTGCACCTGCGTATTTTTTTCAGCACCTGATCCAGTTCTTCAGCCTATCCATATGTTTTATACTCTGCAACAGACACACAGATAGTGATGTGAAAGTCTCTGTTTCTATCAGTTCATTGGTGGAGCTGATCAGAGAGAGGAAGGAACACAAGGATCAGTGCTGGGCCCAGTCCTGTTTAACATCTTTATCAATGATTTAGATGAGGGGATTGAGTCCATCATCAGCAAATTTGCAGATGACACCAAGTTGGGAGGGAGTGTCGACCTGCTGGAAGCCAGGAGGACTCTGCAGAGGGATCTGGATAGCCTGGAGAGATGGGCTGACCCCAGTGGGATGAAGTTCAACAAGGCCAAGTGCCGGGTCCTGCACTTTGGCCACAACAACCCCCTGCAGCGCTACAGGCTGGGCACAGAGTGGCTGGAGAGCAGCCAGGCAGAAAGGGACCTGGGGGTGCTGATCGACAGGAGGCTGAACATGAGCCAGCAGTGTGCCCAGGTGGCCAAGAAGGCCAATG